CCTGGAAGTGTTCAAAAAATGGGTAGATGTGGTACTCTGGGTCATGGTTTAGTGTGCATGGTGGTGTTTCTAGACATCTAGGCATCTAGAAACATGAACATTTAACACATACCAATTTAAGAGCAGTATAGTTGATGCTTTTCCCTCACCAAATTTGAAGGTGTTGGGATGAAGCAGTTGATACAGGAGCTGCACATGTAAAGGCAGAGCTTGAATTTCTAGTTAGACATATGAAGAACTACGCCGCCAAAGCCTGGGCCTTGCTTTTAGTGCAGTTAAAACTATGTTTTGTCCAGGATAACAGACTGTGCAGGAGCAGCAGAAGTGCTGCTGCTTTGAAGGATGGCACCTCAGAAGGTGAGTTCCCAGCAGAGCATGGTACTTTAAACACCTACCAGAGGATTTATGGTTAGACATGCAACTCTTTTTGCAAACTTGCACAATGTGACTCATGAGTTAGGCACAACCCAGGGGCAACTTTCAGCAGCATGTTCAGCCCCAGCTCTGTGCTGCAGAGCAGCTGGCCAGCTTTGTAGAGTGAGCACTCAAGTCCCTAGGTTTGGCTAGGGACTTAGACACTGTGTAGTCAACAGTCTGCAAACAGATCTGTTCTAAGAAAGAGTTTTTCTTACCCCCCTACATGAACAAGGCAGAGAACCAACAGGAAGACAACACATAACTTGGCAGGAATTGTAGCACATAACTAGTTCATTCAGGTTGTGCAGGCCTGATCTGTGCTGAAGTTTAGACTGTGCATGCTGCCTTAATCCACCAGCCAGTCCAGACACCCTCCTTTCCCAGGAAGGCTTTCATCTTTGAAAGAATTAGCCTAGCTGCACTGCTCTAGATTCACCACTGACCATACATTTGTTCTGGTATGATTTTGGTGATGTTTAAGACTGAACAAAGATCAGTCATAAGGGAACTACAAGCCACAGGGAGTACTGTTTTACAATTCAAAGTCTATAACAGCAGGGGCAGATATGAGGGCACAAGCATCTCGTGGACAAAACTCCGTAATTTTTTTTTTTAATGAATTTCAAGTGTACAGTGAAGCAAAACAAAGGGGCACTTACCTTTATTCCAGCCATGCTCCAAGATATGCTGTGAACAGCATCCTACTCTTGGAGGTCATTGGGATCATGAACACATGTCCCAACACCAATGGAGAATGGTTTTCTGGGTTTAAGGACCTGAGGATAGGTTATTGAAACCCAAATGCAGCACAGCCCAAGGAACTAGAGCCATCAGCAACACAACTTCCCATTCAGGGGACTACCTCCCCATGCATTACACAGTGGCTGGACATTTGGTGGATAAAAGTAGAGCTGGATTGGGCAGCCTCTTCCCCCAGAGCTGCCGGTCCATACATCTTGTTGCAGACTTACCACAGAGTCAGTCCAGCACACAGTTCCAGTACAACTGGAACTACCATCATTGCAATGGAAGACCACCCACCGCTTTGAGGGCCAGAACTTCGGGTGTGTGTATAGTATGGAAGTGACAAAAAAAAAGTTCCAAAAAGAGTTTGGCATCCCAACCCCTCCCCACCCACTGACAGACCAGACAGACTCAGTAAGGTGGTAAATTGTGTTTCTTAGAGACCATTTAAAGTACATGAGCTGATTACTATAACATGCCACAGGAGATTACAGTTGTGTTTATAGAGGAAGGAAATAAACTGCACGTGCGTGAGTGGCTGTAATGCTGTGGACAGCAGAGTCCCTTGCTTTTACTCAGAGGGCCTTGGTGATTTTTTTTTGCCCATGCATAGAGACACAAAGGAGGGGAAAAGGAGCAGAAGAGGAGGCAACATACAACACCTAAGAGAAAGAAATGGAAGAGACAGCCTAGGGGGACCTCAGCCCCCAGAGGAACAGGAGGAATGGGGCACCAAAGGCTTGTTTAGAAGAGTTCAAGAGAATTGCTGGTCTGGGGGCCTCAAGCTCATATGCCCACCCCCTAAAATGATAGCAGTAAGTAGTACAAGCAGGCCCTGGCTCCTCTTCAGTAGATGCACTTCTGACCGTCCATCACATCTCAGTTCCACAGGGAATTAGGGGAGTGCTCAGGGGACGAGGGCTGCTTCACTCCAGATCTTCATCTCTGCCCTCACCCAAGGTGGAGAGGGATGGAATTGCAGGGAGATGAACTCAGCGCAAATGAAATGCTGGGGCATGGAAGTGAGCATGCAAAACCTAGCCCCTTCCCAGATGCCCTGTGAGGAGGAAAGGGGCTTCCCCAGCACACCCAATGAAACAAAAAACCATCTGCTCCTCTCATCTTTTGTACTTCACTCCCATCTGGGAACTCCAGTGATGTTCTCCCCTGCCTCCTGGCGTCATCTTAAGCCTAGACAGATCCCAGTGTATTCTAGAACCAAGGTAGAGCTTCCTAAATTAAAGGAGTGCCCTTTTTCCAGTCTAGATTACAGGCTACAGCTCAGCTTATAAGAAAAGATGCACATTCCTCGGAAGACTGCAGAAACTGAGGAACAGAGCAGCTCATTTAACCCCAGGTTTGACAACACATTCAAGCAATTCAGGGCTCTTGTTATTTTTGAAGGAGAAGAACAAGGAGGTTGTTTACAGAAAGCCACAGCACTCCATGCTGCAAATTTACTTACAGTAGAGACGATCTTGGATCTAAATTCAAGAGAACCCATAGCAAGTATGAGGATTTCAGTTTGATAGGCAAGATCTCCAAAGATCTAAGCTGCCAAACTGGGACATCTGATGTCACTTTGCAATACCCATGCCCAGAGCAGCATTTCCCTTTGAATCCCTAGCTAACCATTCCAACTATTTTCTAGCTCCTGCTGAAAGTTAGGACTTTGTGGTAGCAGAAACAGAACAGGTATTCGTAATCAGGAAGCTGTGCAGCTCGTTCAGTCTCATCTGGAATACCTCCAGTCTCCTCTGCCTCCATCTGCTATGTAGTGGACTTCCTTTGACATCCAACCCAGTAACACAAAAGCAAAATGCCCACTCCCACTCTGCCACTACCCCAAAGTCTTCCAGAAAGCTACAAGACAGTAGAAAGCCACAGGGTCCTGGCTTGTGTCTGCATAGATGAAAGGAATATTTAACACCCCCCACCAGACTCCTTACTGTTGTTCTTTTGTTCCTTCTGGCAGGAGATTTTACTCCTCCACATGCCTTTTAGATAGTAACAAAACTCCTTTCACTTAACTGTGTTTAGTCTGTTGCACTTGACTGAGGTAATCATGTAGGCTCTCCTTTATAATAACTGAAATGGCCATGTTCAGACAGCATGCCATCTGAAAATAAGGACAGGCAGAATAGTTTAAGTACTTATCTCTCCATGGCTAGAGAAATCTAGATGGCCACATCTAGCTCAGTCAGATGGCTCACAGTCACTGACCAACACAAACTAGCCTTTATTTCAGAAGCTCAATGAAAAGCTTAAGTCATGCTGCCATTCTTTTAGGCAGAACGCTAAAGAATCTCACATGCTAAAGTCTTTCATACCCAAAGGCACTGCGTTAAGGCATTCTTATTTTGCTAGAGTCCACACAGGCACTATATGACAAGCTCACACCCAAAAATAAACCACAAAAATTCCCTGCAGAAGAGCAAGAGTAATAGCTACCCACTCCTCCTCTACTTCCCTTTCCTCTAAACTCAGATGACCCTCCCTAAAGCTGCAGCAGCTGTTGAAGAGTCTAACCATGTTCAGTAGAGTGCTTCAGAGTCCTATACAGGAGACAAATTAAAACCAATAAAGAAATCAATGAAGAAGCTAGGTGGAAAGGAAAGGAAGGAAAGATTCAGGGGCAAGAAGAGACAGGCAAGGTGACAGGGGACAGTAGGTTGCAGACTGAAGGAGCTACATTCAAGTAAAAAAGTAGACTGGAGACAAAGCAACAGGAAAAAAAAAAGGAAAGAACAAAAGGGCAAGTTACACCCAAGGTCCCCCAGAGACCTCCAAATCCCCCACCAAGGAAGGGACTTGCCAACCCACCCACTCCAGGGTAAATGCCCCTCATACTTACAGGTTCACCTGACCTGGCAGACAGAATTTCCCATTTCCACAATGATGGCCCCCCCCAATTCCTTCCATTACTATGTAAAGCATACCATTTCCACAGTAAGTGTGGGAGTTTCAGCACCACCACCTCCCTTCCCCAAGGACTGAAGTTAACACTTATGCAACCAAGACCCTCCAGATCACAAACCAACAAGGAAGAGTTTAAAGTACTCTACAGTTGGTGCTTCTTCACCTTTGGTCTTGGGCTTTTTGGTACTTACTTACAATCACCACCACCACAATGGCACAAATCACTCCCATCATGATCATCATCTGGAGAGAGAGATTGTCAAAGAATAACACTCAGAACAGATTGACAAGTTCACATCTTCCCTGACTCCCAGGGAACATAAGCCAGACCCTGAAGGTAGGACAGCCAAAGCCTCAAAGTTTTTCCACAGCAAAAGAATCCTAGGCATTTGAAAGAGTTATTAAGCCCCAACTATCCTCTCAAAGCCCTGCAGGAGACAACTAGCCCAATTTCCTTCTAATGAAGGAGATCATGGCACTAGGAAACTCACCTTGCAGTTCTTCCACCAGTACTTCCTTTTGAGTTTTGCTGCACTACTTTCAAATTGTGAGGCACCAGCCTGAAGTGCATCTGCCCGGTCATCTAGCTCTGACAGTTTCTGGTCTCGTTCCAACACCTTGTCTACATTTACACGCATTATATCAACCACCTGCAGAAGAAAGAATAGTAGCAGCAGTTGTATTGGTGAAGCAAGTCAAAAAAGTAAGAGCAGTAACTTGGCCAATTAACTAACACTAAGATACTATCAAGTGAAAGCCCTAAACAAAGAAAAAAGGTCAGGATATGAAATGGCTTTCAAGTCATTGCCTACTTTGAAAAAACCCTAGACCCCCTGTTAAAGTATCAGTTCAAGTAAACTTAAACCAGGTCCTCAGCCCCACATTCTCACCTGTTTTTAAAAGCTCTCAAATCCAGCAAGCCTAAGCCACCCACCTCAGAGTAATCATATGCTCACTCCCTGATAACTGCAAAGATTAATTTGGATCTACATGTTGCTGCCCCAGTGAGGCATAAAGGCGTTACTGCATGTCAGCAGCCACGGTACACTGACACTGGAAAGTCAGGCAAGGTTCCCTGCACATCACGCACTGAGCCTTGCACACAGACTGCTCCCTTGAAGGGGGGATTAAGAGCTGTTCTGGATGCTGTATAGCTTTATTTCCATAACAGATGCACGACACAAGGTACCAAAAATCTAACAGTCCTGCTCCACAGAGGTCTTATCGGGAATTAAGCAGCTTTTAAACATAAAGGGATTTCATTTCTCCTCCAAGCTCTTTACAGGTCTGCCATCATACTCTGAGTATCATTAATGTATTTCTGGTATTGGCACGACAAGAGCATCCACCCCCCTCAGCAAGCCAGCACGGCTGGCAGAGCTACTGACCTCCTCCCCTCGGGCCTGCGTCTGCTGCAGCCGACGGTTACTGCTCGTATTGGGGGGTGGCCCGGGGGGGCCCCCACCAGGGGCTCCCCCTTCTGGGGCCCCGGGAACAGGTTGCTGAGCTGGGTCAGACCTAAGGAAACACACACATAAGGGCAAAGAGAAAACCCAGTCAGCTGCTCAAGACAGAGGACACCCCCCCAAAATCCACCTGAACCCCAGTGCCCCCAGCAGGGCCGGCGTCA